CGTGTCAATGCCAAAGTGAATGAATCACTGCCTCTACTTCTGCACTTAGCAAAGCTGCAGCAAACCCCCTTACTGTGAGGAAAAGCTGAGGATGGATGAACTCGAGCTAGGAAGGACCTGCAGGCTCCAGTTTCTCCTGGGAGCTGCAGACCCTACAGCCAGCTGCAGGTGAAACACAGGAACAGAGGGAGAGGCAAATGGAGTTAATTGGTCCTGATTTGAAAGTACTAAAAATAAATCCTGGGGGAAGACCTCAGCAAGCAGCACGTCTCCAGAGGACACTGACTCAGGCAGAAGTGGCATGACGCAGACAAATGGGGAGGCAAGATCATCCTGAGCAGAAATCTCATTACAGCTACTTAGCTATTCCTGCTAACCTGCTTCCTATTTACTGCCCCGAGGGCTTAAGTAAAGAACATTAAGAATGAAATTAAGAATGTAGAAATGTAGGCTGAAAATCTCCCTGACACAGCAGGATGAGCTGAGCATGTCCACAGAGATTTTTGCTGGCACCGTCAGCCAGCTGAGCTGGAGCAGGAGCAGGTGCAGTTCTGCAGCAGTGGCTTCTCCAGCCCCAACTGGAACACCCTGGAAGATGCTTCCCTCCATGCTAGGCACCTCTGGGGTTCTGGTACCCACTGGATGGGGGGAGCAGGGAAACACAGTAGCCCCAGAGCAACCTCTGGGCAGGCATGCTCCCAGGTTGGACCAATTCACCACTTGCTGCTCACCCTTGCTAGGGGTGGAGCTTCCACAGGAAGAGGGGAAACACCTCTCTGCCCTCCATCCCACTGTCTGGCAGAGGATGAACAATGGGTCCCAAGTCCCTGAGAGAGGAGGTGAGCCTGAAGCACTTTTATTTACTGCTGTAGCCCATCAGCTACTCCCACAGCTGCCAAAAGCACTGAGGCTTGTGTGTTGTAGCAGAGAGGCTTGAGCATGTGCTTGCCTGGCCAGCACTTTACTACCTCTCACCCAACTCTTCTTCTGGCTTCTTCAAAAGCAAACAAACTAATTAGAAAACGAAGAAACTCTGGGTGCCAAGCCCTGCTGATGGACAGCAAAGCTCTCCTCACTTTCCTGTCCTCACTGCCCTCCTCTCCAGCAGCAACACCTGCACTGAGTGCAAGGACCATCTCTTTTCACTTGTGCCCTGTGATAGGTTGAGGGGCAATGGATGAAAACTAGAACACAGGAAGTTCCACCTCAACATGGGGAAAAAATTTACTTGCAAGGGTGACAGAGCACTGGAACAGGCTGCCCAGATATGTTGTGGAGTTTCCTTCTCTGGAGACTTTCAAGACCCATTTGGATGCATTTCTGAGTGATTTGCCACAGACTCTGTAGTGGTCCTGCTCTGGCAGGGGGGCTTGGACTTGATGATCTCCAGAAGTCCCTTCCAACCTCCACCATTCTGTGATTCTGTGAAACCCTGGGTGCTGGTGCCCAGGCTGGCAGTGCAATTAGAGGCTGTCATGGGCTATCTGTCCTGTAATTTGCTACGTTGGCACAGGCATCTGTGTTGGTAATTATGTACATAGTGGGATCCACAGCATTACACACAGCCACTAGCAGGAGCAAAGAGCCAGGAGAGAGAGGCTTTGCAAGTGCACAGCTGAGTGAGAGATTTGTCAGGGATAGAAAACTTCATGAAATGTGCATTGTTACCTCCCTTTGGAGGGCTGGTGGGAGATGCCTGCACATATCCACTTTCATAAACAAAGCTGGATAATAAATGCATAAATAATAGCGTCTTTGTTCAGATTTCCATCACTTCTGCTATTGCTGTCCAGGAGGAAATGGTGTCAGAGAGTTAGGGCTACCTCTGGGATGGGAAGTGCAGCTAGGATGAGGACTCTTTCAAGACCCATGCTAACAGAGCAGCAGCTGCTGCCAGGTTTAGGTGGATATACAGGCCCACGCAGTGTTAATTTCTGGATAACTCTTTGGCCAGCAAAAGCTGAGTCTCTATCATGTCTGAAGAGGAGAGCAAATCTCCAGCTCTTGTGTGGACAGCCCTGCATTCTAGCTCTTAAGCAGATGCTCAGCTTCAGGTACAGGCTCAGGTTCCAGCAACAGCAAAAACATGGGTCCCATGGTTCACAATCAGGGCAAGAATCAGTGCAGGCTGCCCCCACCCCCAGAGGCTCTCAGGGATTGATGGAAGTTCACCAGGCAGGAGGTGGAAGTCATTCTTTTTTTCTAAAAAGGATTTTGTCCTGAAAACCTGATTTCAGTGGTAAAGAATACTTGTCTCTTTGACCAGACCTGGCTGGGCCTTGGTGTCACTGTCTCCCCTGCCAGTGTTCTCCTATAGCACAGAAGGACAAAATGCTTGCAAGGCACTGGGGCCATGGAGATCCTGCTTCTACAGCATCTCATAAAATTGCTAGATTGGGACACTTTGGCCTCAAAGCCCAGGAGCTGGAAGTGGGATATTATTATCTTCCAGGCTCTGTGCTCACTTGCTGTCTGACCTTGGGCAAAAAAAACAATCTCTTATGCATCTTTTTGCCACTGTAGATGTAGGATAATGCTTAAATTTTCCAGAAAAAAAGACCATCCCTTAATAGTGTCCTGCCAACACAATGAAGTACAGTGATTTATAAAAGGATGAGAACTTCATTTTTAAGTCCCTTCCAACCTCCACCATTCTGTGATTCTGTGAAACCCTGGGTGCTGGTGCCCAGGCTGGCAGTGCAATTAGAGGCTGTCATGGGCTATCTGTCCTGTAATTTGCTACGTTGGCACAGGCATCTGTGTTGGTAATTATGTACATAGTGGGATCCACAGCATTACACACAGCCACTAGCAGGAGCAAAGAGCCAGGAGAGAGAGGCTTTGCAAGTGCACAGCTGAGTGAGAGATTTGTCAGGGATAGAAAACTTCATGAAATGTGCATTGTTACCTCCCTTTGGAGGGCTGGTGGGAGATGCCTGCACATATCCACTTTCATAAACAAAGCTGGATAATAAATGCATAAATAATAGCGTCTTTGTTCAGATTTCCATCACTTCTGCTATTGCTGTCCAGGAGGAAATGGTGTCAGAGAGTTAGGGCTACCTCTGGGATGGGAAGTGCAGCTAGGATGAGGACTCTTTCAAGACCCATGCTAACAGAGCAGCAGCTGCTGCCAGGTTTAGGTGGATATACAGGCCCACGCAGTGTTAATTTCTGGATAACTCTTTGGCCAGCAAAAGCTGAGTCTCTATCATGTCTGAAGAGGAGAGCAAATCTCCAGCTCTTGTGTGGACAGCCCTGCATTCTAGCTCTTAAGCAGATGCTCAGCTTCAGGTACAGGCTCAGGTTCCAGCAACAGCAAAAACATGGGTCCCATGGTTCACAATCAGGGCAAGAATCAGTGCAGGCTGCCCCCACCCCCAGAGGCTCTCAGGGATTGATGGAAGTTCACCAGGCAGGAGGTGGAAGTCATTCTTTTTTTCTAAAAAGGATTTTGTCCTGAAAACCTGATTTCAGTGGTAAAGAATACTTGTCTCTTTGACCAGACCTGGCTGGGCCTTGGTGTCACTGTCTCCCCTGCCAGTGTTCTCCTATAGCACAGAAGGACAAAATGCTTGCAAGGCACTGGGGCCATGGAGATCCTGCTTCTACAGCATCTCATAAAATTGCTAGATTGGGACACTTTGGCCTCAAAGCCCAGGAGCTGGAAGTGGGATATTATTATCTTCCAGGCTCTGTGCTCACTTGCTGTCTGACCTTGGGCAAAAAAAACAATCTCTTATGCATCTTTTTGCCACTGTAGATGTAGGATAATGCTTAAATTTTCCAGAAAAAAAGACCATCCCTTAATAGTGTCCTGCCAACACAATGAAGTACAGTGATTTATAAAAGGATGAGAACTTCATTTTTATCTCCTGTTTGAATTGTTAAAATAATTAATTACTTCTGGGCACAGAATTTTAATTAAAACTCCACTGTATTGCTAGTTATGTTTGAAACACTTAACATTGAATCACTCCACTTGCAAATTCCTGAAAGAAGCAACCACTGCTGCCTTTAATATTCCAATCCCAAACTGTCCTGAAAGTGTTATTTTTATTTGTACAATTCAGTGGCCACTGGTAATTCTGCAGCTCAAATCAACATAATGCTTTTTCCATTCCCCTAAGTGATACCAAGGTATTTTTGAGAATTTCAGCTGTCCAACTAAATTATCATCAATCACATTCAATTAGAAAGCATGAGGGGAGCGGATCAGTTTCAAATGGTAATTTTTTTTTCCTCGTTGAGCAAGAGAAATCACGTTTCAATTTTTCCCTGTTTTTTTCCTGGCACTCCCAGACAGCAGTCCCACT